AATCCAACATCTATGCCCATTTGCTTTACGTTTCCCATTTCAATGTCATTTCTATCGGATCTAATCCGTGACTTGATTTTTTGTTTGTTTGTTGTGAATCTCTGGGTTTGTTTTTCAGATCTCAACTGTAATCTTGTGAGGATTTATTGCTCTTGAATCTATCTTCTTATGTCAAGATCTACATCCGTATTATTCTGCATTCATTTATGAATAATATGGTGTTAAGAAATTTTGGGCTTGACGACAAGCTTTGTCCTCTTTGATTTATACTAGTTTTGTGATGCGAAAATACTTGCTGCATTTATGAAAATGTGTGTATTTAGAGTTATGTTTATTAGCTGACCGCCAAGTGTTTGATGAAATGTCTCAGCCAGCCAAATGGACTCTCTCCCTGATGCGCTCCTTCAATACATTCTTTCCAACCTGACCGCTGCAAAGCATGTGGCTGCTTGCAACTGCGTGTCCAAACGATGGAAAGAGTCGACGGATTGTGTGAAGAGCATTTTCTTCCCTCGAAACGCATTCGAAAGCATTTCGGAGAGTGATGATTCTGACACCATCGTTCTGAAGATGATCTCGTCTTTTTGTTGTCTTGAGGAGTTTGTCGTGTATAGCCCGTTCACTAGCAAAGGACTAGCATCTTGGATGATGCATGTTGGTTCATCTCTGAGGGTATTGGAGCTAAGAATGGATAATCTTGCTAGCGATGAGGCTATTCTAGAGGGACCGTTGAAGGTTGATTGCATTGGGTTGGCCAAGAATTTGGAGACTTTGAAGCTTTGGGGTGTTTTAATGATGAGCCCTCCTAAGTGGGATATGTTCCCGAATCTTCGCAGCCTCGAAATAGTGGGAGCAAGATTGGATGATTCCGCTCTGTGTCATGCTATACGTGCTTGCCCGAATCTGACTAACTTGCTTCTGCTAGCTTGTGAAGGAGTTAAATCAATATCAATCGATCTGCCGTACTTGGAGCACTGTAAGCTGGATTTCTATGGACTAGGTAACAGTTTGCTTACCCTTCGGAGTCCGAGAATAATTTCCCTAGATGTTCAAGGCTGTAGCTGGATGAGTGTCCCTGAAACCAGATTCTTAAAGAGCCTATCCATCTCCAATATTGCTGGTAAACATAACAAGTCACGAGTTTAACTTGTTTGGTTCCATTTATAATCTGCAGATGTCATTTGTCTTACTTTGACTCTGATTGTTTAACAGGGAGAGTTTACATGGTAGAATTCTGTAACCTTTCATCGCTTGAGTCCTTGTCGATTCGAGGCGTACAATGGTGTTGGGATGCGATAGCCATAATACTGCAGCAAGCAAGAGACGTGAAGCATCTCTTTATGAAGGTCGAATTCACAGGCAATGAGTCCCTTCAACCGTTCCCTGAGATTGATTTTGTTGAGTTCTTCAATAGCCATCCCAAGCTTCAAAAGTTTGATATCCATGGAGCAATGTTCGCTGCACTTTGCCAGAAAAACAGCCTAAAGAAGGTAAATTAATCTCTTCTTCATACCTTCCCTATGATTCAAAGTCTTTACCAATTATGTTAAATCCCCTTCTTCTCTTTGCAGCTTGAAACAGGATTTGCAATACCGTGTTTGGAGGAAGTTGTTATCACAGTGAGATCTCCATTGAACGCAGAACAGAAGATGAACACGCTTGAATCGCTTGTGAAATACGCGAGAGGTCTGAAACGAATGGTGATAAGGATGCTTCGGATGAAGAGCAATCACAGCAGTGCAGATGATTTCTGCGATGATATTTGCAGGTTCCGACACATGAATAAGGATCTTGTTCTAATCGAATGAGATCCCATAATTTTTTTGCTAATCTCAACCATTGATTTCTGTTTACCATTGAGCATTTCTTGTTTTAGACTTTTTGAGTAATTTTTGTTTCCTGATTCAATGTTATCAACTTAATGACTCTGATTACCACATTCCGACAACGTTTCCAAGTTGTCTTTAAAACAAAATGATTATGGACACATTTCTTAATTTAGTTTTATTATTTTCTTGTTTTTATATATGCATTAGTTGTACTCCTACTGGTTAGATGAGCTTTTCTTTGTTGTGTCAAGGGTAAGTATGAATCAAATCAAAACTTATGAGTAACAAAAAAAATGAAAAAAAACTTTTATGAGTTAAAAGTCCTTGAACTAATAAAAGAGCTTAATGGATAATCATGGAACATAAAAATGTGAGAAAAAACAAGACCTATGCTTAAAACAAACATTTATCTCCTAAAAACAAGACAAACCTCAGATCACATTACATTTTATTATTATAAACTACCAAAATTAAACGAGATAACGGAAAACGCGCACGACCAACAAATTTCAAAACCAAAAAAAAAAACTTTCTCTATATATGACAACAAAACTCCCACCAAACAAAATTGCCTAAGCTAATTTCCTCTCGAGTAAACTAAATATATTTTATATAAGAAATCAAATTAAAAAAAATGGCGGGCCGCGACAACTTCCAGCTGCGTTTCGCGGCTGTCGCGGCTTCCGCCGCCGTATTAATCCTTCTCGTCTCCGGTCAAGTCGCCGAAGCGTCACGTATGATGAATCTCTGTTCTCACACCGCGTATCCATCATTGTGTCGACCATTTGTGAAACGTATCACGAATCCTAGACGAGCCACGCACCGAACCATCCAGGCATTGGAGGCAAAGACGAAACTGGCTCTAGTCGAAGCCGCTAAGTACAAAAACGGTAACCAAGCGATTACCACGTGCTACGAGACGTTGAGCGACGCGGTTTATAATTTGGCTAGTGCGAGGAAGAGCATAAGGAAACGCGACGTGATGGCTATGAACACGTATCTAACCGCGGTTGTGTCTGATTATGGAGCTTGTGTTGATGGGTTTATTGAGACGCGTCAAGTTAATACGGTCCAAAATGTAGCGGTTGATCTGAGGAAAATTAGCAGCAATTGCTTGACGTTGTCTACTTTGATTAGATGATTGATTATTATTATTGTAAACAATATTTCTTTAATTTTTTCTCGAAACAAAAACTTTAGTTAATTTCGTCTGATTGAAGAATGAAAGAAAAAAAAAAATCTTAATTTACTAAAAATGG